TCGCGCGCTTTACAACGTTGGTGAATAATTGGCTTTATGGATCATTACCGTCATTATTATTCCACGCGTCACATTCGTATGTATGTATGCATATAAATATAAAACAAATACGTACACACACACACACACACACACACACACACACACACACACACACACACATATATATATATATATATATATATATGGACAGAGAGAAAGAGAGAGACAGAGGAAGAGACACAGACAGATCTAAATATATATAGAGACACTGAGAGGGAAAACCAAACACACATACAAACATATATATATATATATATATATATATATATATATATATATATATATATATATGAACAAAGAGATTTTGATTTCTTCACTCTCACAGGCGGACTTAAGTAAGAGAAAGAAATCGATAGAAATGGACTTTGAAAATTTCTCAGACACATGTGCATACATACACATGTATATATACTCAAGCGGAAACAACACACACATAAAGAAACATATATATATATATATATATATATATATATAGATGAATAGATAGAGACAGACAGAGTGATAAACAGGTAGATAGAAAAATTCAGAGTGAATTAATTTTAATTCTCTCTCACCCATATATATATATATATATATATATAAATAGAAAATAAATAGTTAACACACGCACACATATAGCTATCTATCTATCTATCTATCTATATATCTATATATATATATATATATATATATATATATATATATATAAAAGTATATAATTGGTATACACGGAATGAATTCCAATAACCAACAATTACTATTCTTAAAAAGAGTGCTCAATACAAAGTAGAGCAGATATAATTATTTTTTATTTTAAAAAAAATAAAAAATAATTATATATATATATATATATATATATATATATGTGTGTGTGTGTGTGTGTGTGTGTGTATTTATGTATAGTTAATGATTTTAATAATACATCACGGGATCGATGTGTTTTAAGGAACTTGTTCTGTTCACAATTAGATCGCGGAAATCCTAATAGTTAACGTTGTGTATATATATATATATATATATGTGTGTGTGTGTGTGTGTGTGTCTTTGTATTTGTGGCTGTGTGCGTATGTTTGTATGTATGCGTGTGTGGGGGGTGATATCTGAAATATTTTAAGCAATCTTGATGGTTAATTAAAGTTTTGCATGACAACACAAATTTTCTTCTCTTTCCTGTTTTTGTTTATTAGCTTTTTTTTCATTTTTGATTCTTATTGTTATTTGCCTCAAGCGTATGCCTGATCATCCATCTTTTTGCACCTAGACACACATACATATAAAATGTTATGAAGGTGCATTTAGAAATGAATAAAAATACATTCTTATATCAAATTTATCATATGTCCATACAAACCTACATAACATATCGATACAGAAATAGATATTGATTAAAACGTAATACATAACCATATAACTTACATATGCTCACGCATCTATGAGTTATCGAATTTTATTTGAAGTATATTGTTGTGAGCATATTTTGATGATTTTGGACTTGCAAAACGTAATTCATGTTTACTTTGCTACGTTAGAAATTGATTGATTTAGACAGTTTAATATAACATTCCCTTTGACGAGAACAACAAATCAACGTTTTAATTCTATCCTCGCATATGTTGTATATATTTATATACATTTTCAATTAAGAATTTAAGTGTGTTTTAATCTAAATAACTTACCCTTGGAAAAAAAATTATGTATGGCAAACCGATGAAATAAGAATTTTTTATGTGTAGGTTGCAAGGCTTATATGGCATATTGATGCAGTCTTGACTGAAAAAGGAATGTTATGTAATATGGATGCCTGGTTGTAGACTTGTGGAAATTTTAACGTGCAGTCAGCTTCGTGTTGCTAAGCTGAATGTTGGAAGACTTTTTGAGATATAAATATAAACTAAAATTTATCTGAGATTCATTGAATTGCTTCCTTTACAGTTCTGTCTTTTACGGTGCCGCAAGTTTGTATTTGTAACGGATAATGGCTCAGGATGTCAAAATCGGGCAAATCAAATTTTAATTTCAATCAGGTCCGTTATATGTACTCGTGCAAACACGCCTGGGTGATGATAAATCGTAAAGGGACATGATTGCCCAAGCGGTCCAAGAAGGTGCGGAAGGCCTACGTCCAACAAAGAACCTTGACAATCTGAAAAGAAAAAGGAATAAACCTTGAAGATCTCATCGAAAAGCGAGCAAACTGACGGGATATCATAGACTGTTGGAATCAATCAGCGTGTGAAATCGAGGATGGAACGTAAACTTGGTTAAGTTTGTGCAATCAATCACTGGGGTCAAATTCTGTTAATATAACACAAGTTCGGGTTACATTCTTTGAGTCGGTCGGATTGGTGTCATACTGCAAGTACAAATATAAACAACTGACAGCGTGAACATCGTCAGTCAGTGGCCGATGGTTACTCTGACCTGGTGCAGTGGTAAATAAACTATAATATTAGATTACATCTTCATTTGGCAGTGACTGACATTGAATGGTGCGCCAATGCCACAGAAAATATGAATTTATTCCCTGTACATCCTGTGCTGATTGAGATATCCATTAAAAAAAACATTACCGACCTTGAAGCTCTGTTTAAGACTAAGTTCATGTGTATACACCTCCAATAATAATGGGTCTTTTCATGGAACAACTTTTATACGAATGTTATTTTTTAGTTTATTAATTACAGGAACAGGATATGGTTTGTGATATAATGGATACAGTCTCATATGAAAATGTGATGTTCGTTATATTTACCTATGCAAAAATAATCTTGAGAAAGCTATGAATCCATTTCCTCTCCACAAAGCTATGTGTTGAATAGCAAGACAGACTTGTACCTGTAGCCTTGGTTGGCAACCAGTCTACCGCGGAAAGAAGAGGCAACCTACTGCAGGAAAATCTTCTGCTTAGTGAGTTATGAATCCAAAGATATTTGATCACCCAAGCGTGTATCACGTATGGCACTTACCTGATTGCAGTACAGGAATAGATCCAGGGTATAGCCATCCCCTTCCTATATTCCCTGAGAAGATATAGTTAGGCTAGTAATTGTAGTAAATAGTAGTTAGGCTTGTAATATTAATTTCTTTCTTTCTTATCCTTTTGTTTGAAGTAGCGTGGAAAGTCAATATTATTAATATGACATTACTTCCTTGAGAAATTTCAGATGTATCAACAGTTAAATTGGAAAGCACATGTAAATAGAAGAGGAAATATAATGACATAATAAAATATATTTTTTAAGTAAAGCTTTATTTGCAATTCTGATACAAGGGGAACTGGCTAACGATTGGAATTAAGAATTTCCCTCTGTCGATTTTTATGATAAATTATATAAATCTTATATAAATTTTCATTTAAATCTTATATAAATTCTCATATAAATCTAATATAAAATTCTCATATAAATCTTATATATATTCTCATATAAGTATTATAAAAATTCTCATATAAATCTTATATAAATTCTAATATAAATTTTATATAAATTCTAATATAAATTTTATATAAATTCTCATATAAATCTTATATAAATTCTCATATAAATCTCATATATATTCTGATATAAATATTCTATAAAATTCTCATATAAATCTTATATAAATGCTTATACGAATATTATATAAATTCTCATATAAATCTTATATATATTCTCATATAAATCTCATATATATTCTGATATAAATATTATATAAAATTCTCATATAAATCTTATATAAATGCTTATACGAATATTATATAAATTCTCATATAAATCTTATATATATTCTCATATAAATCTTATATATATTCTCATATAAATCTTATATAAAATTCTCATATAAATCTTATATAAATGCTTATATACCGAATATTATATAAATTCTCATATAAATCGTATATAAATGCTTATACGAATATTATATAAATTCTCATATAAATCTTATATAAAGGATTATACGAATATTATATAAATTCTAATATAAATCTTATATAAATTCTTAGACAAATATAAATTCTCAGATCAATCTTATATGAATTCTCATATAAATCCCATATAAAATTCTCATAAATCCTATATAAATTCTAATATAAAATCAGCACGAAATAACATAGTCGTTCATTATGCTGTTGAAATTTTTGCTTGAATAAATATAGCATATAATTCGTTTCTCAGCCTTTTGCCACTTGCAAAATATAGAAGTAATGAATACATATCCGACTGTGTCGTATAAGCAAATGCAAGACATTATAAAAATACATATTCAACTGCACATGACTCAGTTAAACTCGTTATTTTTGTTTTATGAAACAAGCATCAATATTGACATGCAGAGGGAACATTAATCGAAAGAAGCTTAAATATCCTCCTTGGGAGTTTGAGATTAGAAGATTTATACAAAGGACAAACGCTTTAAAAGAAGAAATTGAATCGGTATTAATATGGATTTTGACGCTTAGAAGTTTTTTTTCTCTGCATCCAGTCGATAACAAGTAGTAGGAACGAGAATTATTGATAAGCGTCGAGAGTTCGAAATGTCGAGAACTCTGGCCTTGGCCTGTTATACAACATCGATATCTAACTCATAACATCCTTTGAACTTTGACACTCATTGTTAATTATGATGGTAGACATTTTTTTCTTTATTTTGAAAGAGAAGCCAAGAAGAGACTGTTTCCTTAAAATAATTTGCGTGTACAGGCTTCATTAAGAAAATTTTTCTGTCCCTTATGTCATGTACAAAGGCAAATTATTATTTTCCCTCTTTTCTAAATTATATATATATATATATATATATATATATATATATATATATATATATATATATTACATATATACACACATAAATACGTAAATAGATAATGAACATTAGATATATACACACACACATATATATATATATACAGAGAGAGAGAAGAGAGAAAGATATATATATATATATATATATATATATATATATATATATATATATATATATATATATGATAGATAAATATGAACAGAGTGACATAGATAGATACGAAGAGACATAGATTGATAGATAGTTACGAACAGCCATAGATAAATACGAATATAACTTAGATAGATAGATAGATGGATAGATAGATAGATGAATATTACTACTTATCATAATATATCCTATTAATATATATATATATATATATATATATATATATATATATATATATATATATATTTTTTAATGTTTTCGATGATTCCTATTTATATAAATTTTTTCAGACGTTCACATTCTTATAAATATATGAATTGGGATGAATACGGTGTTAGTCCAACTTTGGCATGAATCACATCATATGTCGTGAAATTGAGACATATATGTTATGACCTGTTGTTAGTGGAATTGTTTGAGTGATTGTTTGGTAATATCCAAATGGGCTACTTAACTGTTTTGTTCTTCATTCCAATTTTGATTAACAGTGGTCGTGTGAATCAGAGCATTATCCTCCTGGTAAACGGCTCTTTAATCCGGAAAGAATGTTTGTAAGACGGACATTAGCAGCCAAAATACCCATACCATCCTTGGCGTTAATTCTTCCATGTACATCAGTTTAAAGGTCAAGAGATATGGCTGCTAGAATAATCATACAGTCACCTTCATGGTTCACCGTGGGGGTCGAACATTCAATGTTGACTGTTTCTTTGGGCTGTATTTTACGTAATAAGACACGTGACTCCTGGTATAATTAGCCCCAACTTAAATGGCGGAATCCAGATGTGAATCTGGGTAATAAAAGCAAAATGACAACAAAATTATATATATATATATATATATATATATATATATATATATATATATATATATATATATAACCAACAATAGTGTATGTATTAACAAAACAAAAGTATACATAGACAATTAAAGATCGTGTTACAAAACACTGAACAGAAATGAAGAAATTGTTTGTGCGAGTGTAGTTTGGTGTAGGAGAAATGTTTGTAAGTGCGTGCACGCGCGTTCCCCATTTTGAAAGCATTTTTATTCGTTCGACCAAAATCTTAACCTGTCTGAGTGAAAAAGGATAAATTGAATGACAAAGATTGTCACTGCCTATTTATACGCTTTGGGATCGTCCCCTAGCGACGTTTCTTTAGAAAGTAAGTTGGGTAACTCCACACATGTATGCGGAAATTCAATATCATAGTTCGGACATGTAAATTAATATATTGTTGTAGCCTGTCGTGTCTAATAACGTATTCTTTCTCAGCAAGTACTGGGTACCCTGTTGCCCTGTGGTGAACAGTTTCATCAAATTTATGGCATAAGCGACAGGCTAGATTTGAGCAATCGCCATTGACATTTTAGTCTTGTAGGCAAGACATTGGCCATGTACTGTCATAATGAGGCCTTCTGTCTACTTATTACGAACATTGCCTTTAAGGCATTTTTGTGTTTGGCGAACATCGATGTCTCTTTCATCCAGATGCCTACAGAAATGGGTTTAGATTTCTATTTTGGTTCAAGCGTCTTCTTATAAGAAGCTTTATCCAGTGACTTAATTTTCTTAGCTTCGCTAGTGTGGGATCCAGGATATTTGTCTCGTAGAGTATCTGTTACACCTAAGGAGTTTAGTATTTCTTGTCTTTGCTTAATGATGGAATTATACTCATAATATATATATCCACCAGCTCTCCAAGGGAGTTATGTTATACCAACATCAGCTTTGGAGTTGTGTAAGCTATGTTTAGACAGTAGCTTACATACTTTGGAAATAATGTGTGCTATATCACTAAAGTTCTATATTTTATAAGGCCAAAGCTATAGGTAATAATAGGTATTAACAAAGATTTAAGCAAAATTCACCTGAATTTGTCTTATAATCATATGCCGGGTAATAAGTATAGGCTTACGGCAAAGGAAGGACTTGATTTTTTTCTTATTTCCACTTAATTAAACAAAAAACAACTATTAATAATAAGGACATATATCGACAAAACTTTTTGTAGGATATGGATTATCCAGAAAGATGGTTCACCCGGGATTTGGTTGATTTCTTATTCAGTTCCTCTCTTTATCAGACCCAAATTATTATCATTATTTCATTGTCTTTGGTTTCTGGTGTATACTCATTTCTTTCCGGGTCCTGACAAGAGACCTAATCTCAGAAATGGCATCATGGCATTTTTCAATGAGCAGTTTTGAAAAATAAAATCACACATATTTTACATAGATAAACCCCTTCGTAAGGTGTGGGCTATACATGTGAGTGCATTTTTTTTGTATTTTTTTAAGGCATGGGCTGCGAGGGATTCCTTCAATGAGTCTATTGGAAACTTTTCCAATCAATCTGAGGGCACCAACTACAACTGGGACTGTTAATCTCCCCATGCGCCACATTTTTAGATTCCGATTTGAAGGTCCCTGTATTTTGATAGTTTTTGAAGATCTTCAAAGATATATTGCAGTCTGCAGGGATTGTCATATCAATAAAGAGGCACATTTTGTTTTTGAGGTCTCTAATCACGATTGTTGGGCCATTACTTTTGATTGTTCTGTCTGTGTGTATTGTAAAGCCCCATGAAATTGTTTTGTCTGTTTGTATTTTAAATTCCCATGAGATTGTTACAGACCCTATATCTGTAACCTGGTGTGGGTTGTTTTTGCACCAATTTCTTGCTGTTTGCTAGATTTTTCACTTCTGATATTGGCCCACGCTGTCATCTCGAGTTTTATGGTTAATTGTTTCTGGGTATCTCTATCTATAAAAGGCAGGGTGTGTGTGTGTGTGTGTGTGTGTGTGTGTGTGTGTGTGTGTGTGTGTGTTTGTGTGTGTTTGTAACGAATACACGGCCGCAAAGTATGACGAATTTGCACCAAAATTTACATGCAAATGCTCCAAGTTAGCGGGAATGTCAAGACGGACTTTGCATTTCCCAACTCCCATCGATAGTGGAAATAATCGATTTTTTTCATGCTTCTACGGCAGTTTTCATGTAGATTGCGGCCATTTTTTACTGGTCAGAGTGAGAGCCTATAGCTGGCTGCCACGAATAGGCAGGAAGATTCTATTGGTCAGCGTGAGAGCCAACAGCTGACTGACACGAATGTTAACTAGCATGCTAGCATGTAAAAAAAATCGATAGCTGCATTCGTCACAAGTGGGGAAAATTTAAATCTGAATAACACTTTACTTCAATTGGCTCATTCGCTTGCTTGAACTCAACGTTGATTCTGATTCCGCAGAACTGGGTTGGGTGTGAAAAAGTATTTGTTGTTAACATTTTTTTCATTCGGTTTTTCATGTTACGAGTCCTTTTTAAAGCTGATCGTTTTGTGTTCATTTTGTTTAGTTCTTTTTCGTAACAGATTTAATGTTTACTATAGAGCTTGGAAAAAATTCGCACTGTGAGAAGTAAGACATGTAGCAACATCAGTACGGCAAAGGGCACTCCTTTAAAGGTAAGGAAGGAAAAAAATATTTTCATTCAAGTGATAGCGATTGTTGTATGAATCGTACGATTTTTGAATCAAGCACGGGCAACGCCGGACCATGCTGCTAGTAGTATATATATATATATATATATATATATATATATATATATATATATATATATGCTAGTATATATATATATATATATATATATATATATATATATATATATAAATGTGTGTGTGTGTATTCGGTTTTCCAGTTACGAGTCCTTTTTTTGAAGCTGATCGTTTTGTGTTCATTCTGTTTAGTTCTTTTTAGTAACAGATTTAATGTTTAGTATAGAGCTTAGAAAAAATTCGCAGTGTGAGATAGGCAAGAAGTAAGGCATGTAGCAACATCAGCACGGCAAAGGGAACTCCTTTAAAGGCAAGAAAGGGCAAAAATATTTTCATTCAAGTGATAGCGATTGCTGTATCAGTCGTACGATTTTTGAATCACGCACGGGCAACGCCAGGCCATGCTGCTAGTTTATCATAAAGTTGACATTTCGGTTTAACCCGATTTTTAAGTTTGTTTGTTTGGTAATTCAAGTTAGCAAGTTTTGGTCCAGTGCAGCAAGAATAAAATGTTCGGTTTCATCTTTAACTCTGCACCACGCAACCATTAATGGTTATTGTGCAACTATACATCAGATAATTTGGCAAGGACAAGGTACTGACCATGAAGAAATTTATTTTGCCATCGTTTCTGCATTTAGTTCACTAAATTTGCCTAATTTTCTTAGTTTCTTTCCCGCTGCAGTAGGTGTATTTAGGCTTACTTGCTCTTTTTCATCCGCTTGAATTTCCATTTGGAATTTGTTGGCTGCTACTATTACTGAATAAAGTTTCTTATTTTCTTTCATGTTCTTTCACACAGATCACCTTTTGGTTTGTTCTATTTTCTATGTAACTTTGAAGACGGGTTTTTGTAGTTATGTAAGACAGTTATAGTTGAACTACTCCCCTCCATACTTCGGATCTTGGCATATACAGATGATCAACATCGGCCATAGGATAATGCATACCGTGGCAAGAAATGAGCTTTCTCCTTTTGATATCCATTCGCTTAATGTCATTTCTGGTGCAGTTAAGGATGTTGAAAATATATTGAAACACAGGTAGAGCAAAAATGTTTATTACTTTCTCTTTCATTTGGAGCATGCTGTATTCCATCTCCTCCGCTCTCTTCTCTGTATTTATTGCCTCATCTTTGTTCCAGTCCTCTTGAAGTTGGCACAAATCCAGATCTATTGAACCTGTTTCGATAATTCTCCTTCAGGAATGTTACTTTCACAGCTTTATCTAATCCAAAGTTGTTTATTATTATTTCCTTTGCTTTCTATTGCATACACATTTCTTTCCAAGTCCCAACCAGAGACCTAAGTTCAGAAATGGCTTCATGACATTTTCCACTGAATACTGGTGGAAGAAAAAAGACAAAGTAAGATCACACATATTTTACATAGATAAAGCTATTCGTAATGGGTGAGTACAATATTATGTATTTCTTTAAGGCATTGGCTACCAGGAATCTCTTCACTGCGTCTATCGGAACCTTTTCCAATCATTCCGAGGATTCCAACTATAAATGAAATTTCTGATGTCCTCATGTGCCACATTTTTTAAATTTCCATTTCAAGATCCCCGTATTATGATACATTATAATCTGCAGGGTCGGCTATGTCAATAAGAAAGCA